CATGCACCCCAACTGCCCCCAGGGACCACTTAGCCCACGTCCGGCATCACGCGGCCCTATCGTAAGGACCGCTCGGGTCAGGATGGCTGCAGTTGTCTGCTTGATGTTCCCACGTCTTCTTCCTTGGATGGAGACGGCACCGCCACCCATGTCATCCAGTGGCTGGGGTGGCCAATGCCGTATTCTGCTACGACCCTGTCCCCCTGCCACCACAAGCTGGCTGTGGGGGGCGGTACCGCTGCTCTGGGGGAGCGCAGGCTTCCTCCCCACTGACACCGGGCTCGGCCGTGTGACTTTGTCTGGCAGAGCCCAAGTTTGCGGTCCTCGCTTTCTCTCTGCCACTAGGACCAAAACGCTCCTTATAGAAACCGCTTCTTCAGCCTGGGTCCCAAACGGGATTGCTGACCTGGAGCCGAGCCACAGCCCATCCACGATGGATGCACTGCACGGACATCAGCACCCAGCTGAGTTAATGAAGCCCTGACTCGGAAATTTTAAGACTAAGCACCAAGAGAATGAATCTCTTTGGGTGACCGAAGCTGTTCCATAAAGCTCGGGAGGCTGGCGTGAATCTGTAGAGTGAGGAGGAATGGAAGCCGGTGTTGAATGAAAGAGGAGAGCAAGACAGATGCCCAGAGAGAAGCAGAGGCAGGGGGCAGAGAGCGAAGCCCCGATCCGTGTTCCCAGCCGCTCTGGGGGCTCACGCGCAGCTCGGGCCTTAGCCGGCCCAGGTGGTCCTACTCTGCTTGGACTCCTGGCGTCTCTGATCCTTCCAGGGAATATGCCTTATTTCTCAAGCTAGCTTCGCTTGGGTTTCTATCCTCTGCAACGGTAACCCTAGCTTGTACATCTCATTGTAAAGCTGAGACACCAGGGCCCAGCAAGGGGACAGCACTTCCCCGGGCTCTCAGTGTCCTTTGTGACAGCACCTAGACTTGACCCGAGAGGTCCAGGGTCCAGTGCACCGTCCTCCTCACTCAGCTAGGGGCAGGCGGGAGGTGCCGGAGGGGTGCCTGGGATTTACGGGCAGAGAACTGAGTCCTCAGCCAGGGATCTGAGCTCCCAGAATTCAGAGGGAGAGACAACAAGCTTGGGAAAAGCCTAGAACATCAAGATCCTAAAGGACTGAATCATAAAATGGGAAGACTTTGTTTTCTGAGGTTCTCCCCCTCCCGGACATTTCAATGATACATGTTCATAATTTAAAAACCTGAGTCATTTGGAAAAATATCAAAAAGAAAGTAGGGTGCCTGGGTGGCTCAGTTGTTAAGCATCTGCCTTCAGATCAGGTCATGATCCCAGGGTCCTGGGATCGAGCCCCGCATTGGGCTCCCTGCTCAGCGGGAAGCCTGCTTCTCCCTCTCCCACTCCCCCTGCTTGTGTTCCCTCTCTCTCACTGTGTCTCTCTGTCAAATAAATAAATAAAATCTTTAAAAAAAAAAAAAAAGAAGAAGAAAGTAAAAAACCACCCGAACTCCCCTCAGTCAGAAAGAAAACCTGTTACTATATTAGTGGTTATTCATCCAGACTTATCTCTGTGCCTATATGTAGCCAAATACAAGTATTTTCGATTTTACATACATGGGATCATACTATGGCTGATACAAAAAAATCCCATAAACTGGGGGCCTCCGAGAGGCCTTACCTTTTAATACCCTCCCATGGTGGATTAGGTTTCAACATAGGAATTTGGGGGGGACACAGACATTTAATCTATAGCAATGTGTTTTTGGAAACTTCCTTTTTCACTTAACACTGTGTCATGAACATTTTCTGTGCCAACATGTACAGAGCCATGTTGTCATTTTTAGGGACCGTATCGTCTTCCATCCTATGGATGGAGTCATTCTGGCATGCCATCCCGGAGATCCCATTAAGTACACAACAGAGCATGGGAGCTGACACTGGTCCCTGAATGTCAACTGCTCCGTTTAAGTCCCCATCCCCCACTTCCCAGCTGTGGGCCCTTGGGGAAGTTGCCTCCCCTCTCTGTTCTGTTTTCCCTTCTGTAAGATGGAGCCGCTCACAGTACCTTCCCACTCAGGGGAGGTGGGGCGTGGGGGCGTGGGACGGGTCTGTTTTACTTCGTTCTGTTTTTGAGGATTAGACAGTTGAGTACACAGGAGGTGCTTAGAACAGTGCCTGAATCACAGTAAAGTCTCAAGCCGTGTTATTACTATCTAATTAACCTCTCTCCTACGTACGGACATTTAGGTTGTTACCAACTTTTCACTATTATATATTTTTACGCAAAGTTGTTTATGCATTTTGAACAAAAATTTAAAATTGTAAAATTTATGCATTTTGTTCACTTGTAAAATCATCTCTTCGGATTTTGTTCACTTGTAAAATTATCTCTTCGGTAAATTCTTAAAAGTGGATTTGTTTGGTTTATTGCTAAGCACATAAAGTACTCAATTACATCTTTGTTCTCAAACTGCTTTCTGGAAACATTGTGCTAATTGACATTTTCATCAACAGTGAGAGACAATGCCTATTTCCCCCGAACTCCACACCAGCCGCGAACTTTGTCAAGATCTTAAAATTTGCGGTCTAGTAGGTAAAAAGTACAGCTTTCCGAGTTTCTTATTGGCAGCAGGATGGTTGTTTTGTTCTATTATTTGGACATTAGCATTTCTTCTTTTGTGAGTTGCCTGCATCTCTTTTATTCCTTTTTCTATTAGGATGGTCATATTTTGTACTGATTATAAGAAACCTTTATGAATTTTCTACCTTCAAATGTTTCTATAATATTAGGGGTACCAGATAAAATACAGGACATCCAGTTAAACTTGACTCTCAGATAAACAATGAATGGGACATTCTTATACTAAAATATTATTTGTTGTTTACCTGAAATTCAAATTTAACTGGGTGTTTGTATTTTCATTGGCTGAACTTAGCAATCCCATGTCATATAGACAGCGAATATTTTTTTTCAGTTTGTCACTTTTTAACTCTGCTTGTATATTTTTTCAATAAAGACATTTGTTTATATATTTTATAATCCCATCTATTAGTTTTCTCCTTTATGGTTTTGTGATATATTTAGAAAGGTTCTCACAATCCCAGCTTTGTGACAGACACTCACCTATATATTCATCTTATTATTTTTTTGGCTTCACTTTTTTGCATTGACTATTCAATGGATTTTGGAATTTATTTTGCTCTAGAGAGCTAGGTAGAGAGTCAGTCCCCTCTAATTACGGTCTACTCATGCCAATATTGTTTTTTGAAAAATTCAACCATTCTATCCACTTGAAGTGCCACCATAAACGCCACAATTTCTCATGTACTGCCGACTTTGGTCTCTTCACCCTTCTGCACTGAACTCATCCCTGGGCCAGGAACATGCTGTTTTAATTACTGCTGCTTTGTGAGAAGGGCGGTGCCGTGTGATGGAGGGTTGGCACGGATGTCTGGCTCTGGAGGCCCAGACCCTCCACTGCTATAGCTGTGTGACCTCATGGAGGAGATTTACCCTCGGGGCCTGCATTTCCTTACCTGAAAGTGACAGCAAGACGGGGATCTGCCTCACAGGGTTGTGAGGTTCCACAGACATTTGTGCATGTGAAGCTCTTCCTTGAACAGTAAGCCCTGAGTCGCTCTGTTTTATTTATTCATTCATGCGGGCACGTTCTTTCATGATCTCATCCCTGGTGTCCCTCCTACTCTTCTTTATCAACCTTTCTGTTGACCGTTCTGTCTATATACTTCCACATGAGACCTAGAATCATTACCTCAAGTTGAAAAGAAAATTCTACTTGGAACTGGAAGGGGATTGTATTGAATTTACTAAGACCACGTGGTAGGGTTACTATGTTCACTTCTTGTCCAAGCATAAGGATTGTGTCCTAATAGATTCAAGTTTCTTGAGTCCCCCAGTAAAGAGCAGGTGTTTTCTTTCTTTTTTTTCTTACAAAGTAGACCATATTCCCTTACACGTTTATATTCCCAGCTATTTATGGTTTTGCCATTAGTGAGGATGGGATTCTCCATTTCCATGTGCAAGGTTAGCAAGCGCCCAAGAACCCTGCTAATCTGGTATGTCCGTCTGACACGGACCAGTTCATTGAAAAGTCTACTATTTCGATCTGCAGTTTGGATTTTCCAGCTGGACCATCCCATGCACTGCAAATAGCAATCGTTTTCCCTGCTTTCCAATTTTAAAAAAGGCAAAAAAAAAGATTTGGCTTTACAAAGACACAACCTGAGGTTATCACACCATTTTTCTTCTCTTGTCTAATTGCATTGACCGGACTTTGCAAACCTGCCCGAGTCTCCATCCCAACTTTGACGGACACATTCTTCTCGCTGTGAAGCCTAATGCGGGCAGACGCTGCCGGGCGCACCGGGCGTCCCCGCCGAGCGAACCTCTGAAGGCAGCGCGTTGGAGGAGCGGTCAAAGGCGCCGGGCTCCGCGGCGCACCTGCCAGGGACCCGCCGCCCCCTCCCCGCGCCCCTTCGCCCGCTCCCCGCGCCGGGCGCCCCCTCCCTGCACCGCCCCCTCTCTGCACCACCCCCTCCCACGCCCCCCCCCCGCGCCCCCTCCCCGCCTGGAGCCCTCCGCCCCCTCCCCTCGACGCCCCCTCCCCGCGCCCACTGCCCGCGCCCCCTCCCCGCGCCCACTGCCCGCCGCCTGTCACCCCCCGCGCCCCCTCCCTGCACCATCCCCTCGACGCCCCCACCCCGCCTGGAGCCCTCCGCCCCCTCCCCGCGCCCCCTTCCCGCGCCCCCTGCCCGCCGCCTGCCAACCCCCCCGCGCCCCCTCCCTCCCGCCCCCTGCCCGCCGCCTGCCACCCCCCGCACCATCCCCTCGACGCCCCCCCCACTTGGAGCCCTCCGCCCCCTCCCCGCGCCCCCTCCCCGCCCCCCCGGCGCCCCCTCCCCGCGCCGGCCGCGGGTGAAGTTTCGCCCTGCGTTTCCGCTTGCACGGCCTCCAGCTGCCTCGCCTTTAATACGCCGGGGCGGCCGCGACTCCGCTCCCCGCCCCCGTCGGCCGCCGGGCCGGGCTCGCCCGCTCCGCCCGGGCGCTGACGCAGCCGCCGCCGCCCGCCGAGCCCCGCGCCCCAGCCCCGCAGCGGGCGCCCCGCCGGCCGGGGCCCGCGAGCGCACGGGACGGCCTGGCCAGGTAAGGAGCGCGGGGCCGGGGACCCGCCGCAGCGGCGTCCGCGCCGTGAGCCGGGGCGTCCGGCCGGGCCCCGGAGCCAGCCCGGCGGCCGCGAGCGCGGGTGCGCCCGCCGGGGTCCAGCCGCGCGCCGCCGCCGGGGCCCGGGCCCCCTCGCTCGGCCTCTGCGCCCGGGGCGCGCGGCGGTCGCGGGCAGGGCGGCCCGGGGCGCGGTGCGGGGGAGCCGCGGCCGCCGGTGGAGCGGCGGGCTCGGGGCTCGGGGCTCGGGAGCGGGGCGCCCCCGCGGTGCCCGGCGTCCCCCGACCCGGACCGAACAGCACGGGGGTCCTAGGCCCTCTGTCCCGGGCGGGGGGCGGGAGGGAGTGTGCGTGAAACCGAAGCAGAGTTGCAGATTCCTTCTCGCCAAGTTCTGTGCCTGAAATCCGGTCCCTGCTTGGGGCTGAGAGTCACCGGGAATAGATCTTGCTCAGTGTAGCTGACGAAGGTCACAACTGATGGAACTTCTCGGAAAAGTTCTGTCGGTGGCAGCTTTTTTAAAACGTCAAGTCTCAGTCGGATTTCGTCCTGATCTGCAGCGAAAAGCCTAAGGCCATCTTCCAAATCTTTCCCCCGTATCAGTGTGGAGAATGCCTCCGGGAGGTATTTTGGGGAATGCATTATGGAACTGAATTCTGTAAGAGAGTCTCTAGTGCCCACAGGGAATGTTCTGGAAGGTAAAGACTGTCAGGAAGGACCACGGGGAGGTACCTTCTCACTAGATTCTCAGTAAGGTCACAATGGGGCTTCCCACCCAGACATAAGTCCCCCAAGCAGGCCTCGTTGGGAAAGGTTCTGCTCCAGTCCAAGTCTGCATCAGCTCAACCCTTAGGTGGGTCGCTCCCAGCCTCCCTGGAGTCCAGACAGAGGACCAGAGTATCTGGCTTGGCAGTGCGATGCAGTCTTACTCTTTTATGTCACATCTGTGTCCAGTAGATTAGGGGGTCTATGCCCAGGGGCTGGGGGGCTCAAGTCCTCTGCGTGTCCTTCTGCCTCCTGAAGGCTCCCCTTGAGAGGAATTGTACTAACCTGATGTGTTGTCCTCGAAAACCTGCAGAGAGGGCTTAGGCCATCATAAAGCAGAACATCCAAGGCCTTAGATGTGACTTACAAATTGGAGTTGGGTGAAGGTTCCATTTTCAGGGATGGCTCAGCATAAGACCAGCTTTGAGGACCCGCTAAGAGGGAAGTTGTGTGAGCAAACACTTACTCTGGAAAACGGCTCTGAAACTGGTAACTTCACATTTATCCAAAAGAGAAATTGAAGGTAGGCTGTTCATTTATTCAGTGTAATGTTTGCATTAATATGCTCCTGTCTTGAACGATTAATTCCCCCAATCACTTCTTTTCGGCTGTATTTATTATTTATGAACAACACGCAGCAATGAATGCATGAAGTATAAGGTGTCTCTGAAGTCAAATGAGTTTGGAAAATTGTAGCAAACCTCTGGCCGTTAGATATTTAAAATGAAAATTTACATGGAACAAGGTTATGGTGAAATAAAGACTTTTTTTTTTTTTCAATAGTATGAACCTGAATTAGCTTGGAAGAAAAGTAGTTTGTCTAGATGCTTAGTGACTGCTTGTAAGCTGTGATATAGAGAACGGCTCATCTTTCCAGTTTATTTCCTTCCTGGGCTAATGAGGGAGGCAGCCATTAACTGCCTTGCTAGTTAATCTTTCTCCGACAAATATTTACACAACCGGATTACACTATCATAGCACAGACTCAAAAGCTGCTAAGGTGGTTTGTGCACAGTATCTCTCAAATTCAACCGTGTTTCCATGATTGAAGTGGAAAATGGTGGAACTGGTATCAAGGACAACGTCCTTAAATTCTCCTGTCCAGCCACGCTAGACAGAACAGTGCTCATTGGGGCGCCTGGGTGGCTCAGATGGTTAAGCGTCTGCCTTCGGCTCAGGTCGTGATCCCAGGGTCCTGGGATCGAGTCCCACATTGGGCTCCCGGCTCGGTGGGGAGCCTGCTTCTCCCTCTGACCCTCTCCCCTCTCATGCTGTTTCTCTCTCGCTCGCTCTCTAAAAAATAAATAAAAAATCTTAAAAAAAAAAAAAAAAGAACAGTGCTCATAAAATTGACAAGGTTCCAAGACTCTGAGGCTAATGCTTCTAATAACTTCTGGTATGAAGGAAGACCATAATGAATGAATTTTGGCGTCAAAGGCTCTGGAACGGGTCCACGTCCGGAAATTCTTGACATGACTGAGGTTCCCATGTACATTGGAAGTGACAACATTTTCAACTGTTTCAATGGTTTTGGAAGGAAGTATTCCTGAAGTGCATTAGGTGCTTCCTACAATCAGAGAGCTGGCTCACGGGCATCCAGACATTTCCTGACGACTCAGGATCACCCCGCGAACGTCCGTTCTCCGGGGTGTTGGCAGGGAAGAAAGAATCCTGACGCTTGCAGTCGACAGGTCAGCATTTGCTCTGGGCTCTGCCTTGGTCCGGTGACTGTAAGCAGGTTGCCTTTTGAGCATCAGTCTCTCATTTGCAAAACCCAGGAGAACTGGCATCTGAGAGTCAGTTTCACTTGTGGATACTCACCGCATGCTAAGCGCTGTTGGCATGCTGCCATCTAATTCCCAGGGGGCAGTTCTTATCCCTGTTCTCCCGGGAGCACAGGGGCAGCACAACTTACCCAAGGTCCTCTCAGGGGAGGAGAGCTGGCATTCCCAACGGGGCTCCTCTGGTCCTGAAGCCTGGGTTCTTCTCACAGTGCTGCACCTGTCCCGGGAGGAGGGCATCCCTGATTGAGAGTCCACAGGCAGCACACAAAAGGGTGCTTGCCCTTAGCTGGGATGGCCCGTTGCACTTTGTGAGGGTGAAATGAAATCAGCTAGTGCGTACAGAGGCCGCAGGCGAGGTCCCTCTGTAATTGGTCTCTGTCATGGCTGGTTGTTGCACGGAAGCTTCTAACTCCGTCTGAGACTCAGTCTTCCCGTTTGGGAACTTGGGACGCCGTTGCCTTCTTTGCTGGGTTGTTGTGGGAATCGTTGTTGAGGACGTAGCAGGTGCTTTATAAAGGAAGTCCCGTGAACCTTCCCTTCCAGTCTGCCCTGTCTCCACCATGGACATCAGCGCTCAGTGGAGATTCCTCCGTGTGCTCTTGAACACGTGCCCTGATGGCTGGACATTTCTGGAGGGGTCCTTGCTGCGCCCCCAAGGTCACGGATGTTTCAAGCCCTTCCAGGCAGAGCCCCCTCGGGGAACTTATTTCAAGGGAAGCGTAGAAGGACACTGTCCTCCAGGGAGGAGATGAGGTTGGGATTCCTAATCCCAGAATCCCCAGCCTCCGCTCTCCCCCTGAGCCACTCGCTTCCGTGGGGCCCCTGTGGCACAGAGGGGCTTGCGCGAGCAGGAGCCCCCCTGAGTGTGCTCGTGGCTCCGCCTCACCCCTGCAGTCCTGTCCTGCCCGGACGCCGCCCAGGACTGTTCTTGCCTCTCGCTTACGGTCCAGTCTGAAAACAGCACAGGTGCCTCCCCCGCCCTCTCCTCAGGGCCCACACCGTCACCTTGACCTTCACGTTTTTACCATCCCGATGGCAAGGACAGGTGCAGACCGAGGGAGGAACGGACCTGGCACGTTCCCACTTAGACTAGAGCTCCTTCCACTTTCCCGCTGAAAGCCACTAATGACCCCAAAAGGAATGTGCCCCTGGGGCCTCAGTAAAGGGTCTCAAGGCACACATTTCATGTTCGGTTTATAGGGCTACACTCTATTTTTATGTTTTAAATTTTAAAAAAATTCTTTATTTTTCAATTAAAAATTTGTTTTGTTCTACTCCATAATTTGTCTTTGCTTAATATAAAGCAAGGCAACCCAGGGGCGCCCGTGTGGCTCAGTTGGTTAAGCATCCAACTCTTGATTTTGGTTCAGGTCATGATCTCAGGGTTGTCAGATCGAGTCCCGAGTCAGGCTCTGTGCTGGGTGTGGAGTCTGCTTAAGATTCTCTCTCCTTCTGCCCCTCCCCAACCAATAAAGGAAGGAAGGAAGGAAGGAAGGAAGGAAGGAAGGAAGGAAGGAAGGAAAGAGAAGAGAGGAAGGGAGGAGGGAAGGAGAGAGGGAGGAAAGAGGGAGGAGGGGAAGAAGCGCAGCACCACTCTGGGAGGCAATGCCCTTGACCCCTGGACCGCACTGCAGCCTGCTCAGTGTATGCATGCCCCAGGGAGGGAGGCCGAGCCCTCGGCCGTCTGTCCTTCTTCTAAAAGATCCATCTCCTAGTCCCTTGGCCCCATGGAACTCATGGACCCCAAAATGGCATTTCATCCATGTCCTTGGGATGGTGTGATGACAGACACCCTGGAGTTCACCCTGCAGATTGCAACAGGGTCAGAAAGGGGCATGCCACCCCTCCTGCAATCCAGGCCGGGGGCGGTGGGGACTGAACCACAGTTCCTTCCACGGACATGAATAAGGATGTATGTTTTCATGCTCAGGCGGCCACGATGAGTTAACCAGAGGTAGTGGTCATGATGACCTCTGTTTGCCGTCCGGTGGGCGGCATTGGTGGGCCACAGCGGCCTGGGGCTGTTTGGCCTTGAAATCATACCCAGCTCCCTCTGGCCACCCTGATTTCTCCTTGGCTCGGGTGGAGCTCCCTGTGTTCTAGAAGACTGCAGATTTATGGCACACATCTGTCACGCCTCCTTCCCTTGCCCAGAGCAGACTCTGCTCATCCATCATGACATTCTTTCCCACAGAGCCGGAATGGGGCCTCAGAATCCTTCTCAACAATTACCTGGGGTCGGCTCATGAAATGGCATCGAGTTGGGACTGTAGACAATGAGGCAGTGAGGGGGAAGGTGACAGCCCCCTCACCTTTCCCCTGTGCCCCTCCGCTAGCCACAGTGGCATTGACACGGACTGCCTGCATGCAGCCCAGCCCCCACACTCACCAAGACAGAGGGCAGACTGTGTGTCGTGCACCTGCAGGGGATCCCGATGC